TAGAAGGGATATATGAGCATGTCCCACTGGATGCCTCCCAATTTACAGCTTATGCAGATCGTGTCTGTCTCTGCAGGTCAGTGGGATAGCATGGAGGAGTACACCTGTATGATCCCAAGGGATACCCACGATGGCGCCTTCTATCGGGCTGTGCTGGCCTTGCATCAGGACCTCTTTTCATTGGCTCAGCAGGTACACTGTGAACCTTTTTGCCATCACCCGCTGTAGTTTGAAGAGCAGCAACTGGGTGTTGCTTTCCCGTATGGCAGGGAAGGCTCCTGTTTGAGGGGACCCCTGGCAAAATGCCCTCTGGTGGGCCTCCTACACAAGTGGACCCTCCTTCGGCAGCCCATGTTGGGATCTGACCATGGTAATTCATGCTATGCTGGCTGGGGTTGATGGGAGTTGTAGCTCAAAACATCTGAAGGGCACCAAGGTATGGGAGGCTGCTCTAGGACACAGGAAATGTTCTTCAGCCTTTATGGTGCCACAGGACCATGCTGTAACAAACTCAAATGGCTGTTGATCGGGCACTTTTGTAAAGTGTCCCTATATGGCGAGTCTTAGCCGCCATCCAGGCGAGCAGCAATTCGCAAACTGGTCTTTGGTCTAATCCTGCATGGATATTCCTATGCTTCTGTTGAGGATTCAATTTGTGTTGTCTTTGTGAATGTGAAATACACTGTTAATTTTAGGGGGGGATCTTGTATTATTTTTTGGGGGGTGGCTACATCCATCCTGCCCCACCCTGTATTAAGAGCTGAAGTTGTAGAATGAATTCCTCTTTAAGAAAGAAAGAAAATAATCCAAATAAGCCCTGTCAGAATCTGTCTGTCTCTATTGATGTGCACAAGAAAATTCAGCCAGGCGTTTGAAAGAGCTAAGGCCTCTGTAATTAACCTTTTTCACATTCTGGGAAGGGGGTGGGGGAAGAGGGAAAACTCTGGAGGAAAGATTATATAATATATGGCACGACACCCAATGTTTTGGACTTCTCTTTGTGCAGAGCCTGTAAAATGTGAAAAGGAAGCTCTGGCACACATAAAACCTCAAAACCTATTGGAGAAAAATTATGGGATGTGCCTAGGTCATAGTTGGCAGTGCGCTTTCAAGCATACATCATACAGGCACCATAATATTCGTATGCCGCCTTTTCATAGTTAAAGCCAGGCTCAAGGCAGCTTACAATATGAAAAAAATACATAATATATATTACATAAGCGGGGTGGGACTCTGGTCATCCAGTTGTTGTTGTTGGGACTCCAGCTCCCATCAGCCTCAGCTGGCAGGGCCAATAATCAGGGAATATGGGAGATGTATTCCAGCAGCATTTGGAGGACCACAGGTTCTCCACCACTGCTGTCGAGGACTGGTCCTTGTAGATGCGCCTTGGCCAGATCCTGGATGGCATTCTGGGAAGCTTTTCAGCTGGTACACCACTTGATAGTTGGTGTGTCTCCAGGGTCTCAGGCAGAGGGTCTGAGAACATTGAATTGGAAATGTTGAGGATTCTGCATGCAAGACAGGTGCTCTACTACTGAGCTACAGCCCGTCTGCAAGCCTGACTCAGCTTGTATGTTCCTGGGCGTATGGAGTCACTGTCAGTACTTTGAAGGAAATGCAAGAGTGGGGTCTGTGTACAAAGCAGGGCAAGGTATCTGTTCTAGAGCAACAGGCAAGAACAGGAAGGAGCCAGTAATAATGGACAACCCAAGAAAGACCCTGGCCAGTCCACAAGATCTTGAAAAAGCCCCACAATCCCGAACAAGTGAAGAAAACTACGTTCTAGATGTACATGGTCATCTAGAGCCAGTGTGGTGTAGTGGTTAAGAGCGGTAGTCTCGTAATCTGGGGAACCGGGTTCGTGTCTCCGCTCCTCCACATGCAGCTGCTGGGTGACCTTGGGCTAGTCACACTTCTTTGAAGTCTCTCAGCCCCACTTACCTCACAGAGTGTTTGTTGTGGGGGAGGAAGGGAAAGGAGAATGTTAGCCGCTTTGAGACTCCTTAAAAGGGAGTGAAAGGCGGGATATCAAATCCAAACTCCTCTTCTTCTTCTTCTTCTTCTTCTTTTGCTTCGTAACTGAAGTGCAACAGCCTCTCTTCACCTCTCCATTGTTGACTTCCTTTTTTGTCTTTACTTTTAAGCTTATTATACTATGTTTTCAATGTCTCCATCGCCTTAGTAGACCCTTCCTTTCTTTTCCTCCATCAGTGCATTGACAAAGCCCGAGATCTGTTAGATGCTGAGCTGACAGCTATGGCAGGAGAGAGTTACAGCCGTGCCTACGGGGTGAGTACTTTGCTCCTGGCCTCGGGTGATGACCCTCTGTTTGGGAATTGTTCCGGCGCAGCGGTGATTGGGATGGAATGTGATTGGCTGTTTCCTTTAGGCGATGGTATCCTGCCAGATGCTTTCGGAGCTGGAAGAAGTCATCCAGTATAAACTTGTACCGGAGCGACGTGAGATCATTCGCCAGATCTGGTGGGAGAGACTCCAGGTAAAGACACTGCAGAAAGTTTATAACACCAGTGTGGTGTAGTGATAATTGAGTGCTGGGCTTGGATCTAGGAGACCAGGGTTCAAATCCACACTCAGGCATGAAGTTCGCTGACTGACCTTGAGCCAGTCACTCTCTTACCTAACCTACTTCACAGGGTTGTTGTGAGAATAAAATGGGGAATCGTGTAAACTACCTTTTGTCCCTTGGAGGTAAGTTGGAGATAGGTAGAGTACCTAGAGCAGTAGCCATGTCAGCAGACACTGAACTCTCTAGCTCCCCTGAATCTTAGCTTCCTTCCATCCATCCATCCATCCTTTCTACCTCCCTACCTTGGAGCAGACGCGGGCTTGCAGCTTGATAGCCAGTGGCTGCTGTCCCATATTAACTCCAGCACCTACCCAGAGGAAGAATTTTTTCCACCGTGGCGCTCTCCTTCCTGTTGTTCCTGCGTGTGCTTCCGTGTGGCACAAGAAGCTGTTTACCTGTTGCTGCCAACGGCTTGCTTTCGCCCCCTCCCCTCTCTCTCTTTCCCTGTGCCATTTGGGAAGCTGTGACAAAGCTCTTTGCCTCCAAGATTGCATTCCTGTCTGGAAAGTCTCAGAGAACATTCCGCCCAGGAGGAATAGCCCGGAGCAACGGGGTGGGTGAAGTCTGCAATTGCAACTGTTTATAGACCTTCAAAAGTAAGGGAGAAAGAAAAAACAGGACACCGAGTTCTTGTGTGTTTTTACAGCATCTTCCTAACAAATACAAAAAGGCCCACTTTATGTGGACCTCAGGGAGCTTTAGATTTCCTACCTAATTTGGATGTGGGATGGCATACCTGGCTATCTGATAAAGGCACCGTACTCTCGCTGTTTCTCCAGAGCAGGAAAACCTCTTCAGTCTTTCTAGCCAATGTTTAATATTCTGTTTTGAATGCAAGGTCTACAGTAGAAGTAAACTCTTGGAGATGTAAACTCTTGTTTTCATTTGGTGCAAATTGCCAGGAAAAGCCCGGATGGGCTCTGGGTCCCTCTAAATTTCATATTGGTTACATAGGAAGCTGCCTATACTGAGCCAGACCATTGGTCCATGTACCTTAGTGCTGTCTACACTGACTGGCAGTGGCTCCCCAACATTTCAGACAGAAGACATTCCTAGCCCTAAACTTGTAGGTACTGGGGATTGAACCTGGGAGCTTCTACATGCAAGGCTGATGCTGTGCCACTAAGGGGTCTTTTCCCATCCCACCCCTCCAACTGTTGTTCAAAGCTGGCATGGCCTTCTCCAATTTGACTCAGGCTTTCCTTCTGTCTCCGCCATGGCAGTGGGCATTGAGCTGTTGTGGCACTCAGCACAGGTAGGTGAGAGGGAGATGCCTCTCCTGGCTCAGCCTGCCTGCCAACAAGGCAGCCTAATTCAAAGGGATGGCCAGGTCAGCGAGGCAGCAAGAAAACACCAACACTAGGCAGGGAGAACAACAGCCAAAGCAGAAATGCAAAAATATCTGTGTGGGGAATGTATTCGCTCAGCGCCACCCCCCCCCCCAAAAAAACCCTTCTCTTTCTCCTTGTTTTTCTTCCTTTTTGATGCAGGAACAAATTGTCGTTGGAACTCAAAATAACATGTTCTTTTTCGGAAATTGAGTCAGACCCCTGTCTTGTTGTTTTGAAAGGGATTTAGGAGGACACAGACGTTACTGCTTTATGTTTTCAAGTCTGTTCCTTTTACTGGGGGTTGATCGTTCCTCCTCTCCGAATTGCCCCCCTTTTTTTTCCATTAACGAACATAGTTAACACTGGAGAACCTGGCCGGCTCCTGGAGCTGACTTCTGTTTACAGTCCCCAAGGACTGAAGTTTAGCAGCGTGTGCAGGATGGAGTGGTGTGCAAACTGCGAAAATTAAATACATATTGCTTGATGTAATAAAGCAGTGACGTTTTCTCTTTAGGAGAAGTTGTCTGTGTTCAGCATTAGCAGGAGCACTAGCTGCTTGTTTGGAACAGACTCTGACCCACGATAGGTTAGATATTCTCTACTAACTGCAACATACAGCAGTCATTATTTTCTTCTCCTTCCTTCCCTGTCTTCCCTAAGACAGCCTTTTTTCTGTTGAGGGCCACAAGAGTAATGATTCAAGGAAAACACATTGGTCTCTCCCTCTGTGTCCCCTTTTGCATTTCCAGCTGGTCATTAGAACAACTGGTAGCTAAGAATTTGTACCTGCCTTTGTGTATTTCCACCTCCCGATCCATTTTTCTTCTTCCATCGTGCCATGGTTATGGTTTACTTTATCACTTTCCTCTATACGTTATGCTCAAAGCATGACAAAAAACCAAAATCATTACAAAAGACCATTCAATACCACTATCCACATAAAAACAGTCCAACATAATAAAAAAAATGCATAATATGAAATAATTTCCATTTCAAGTTATGAAAATTAGTAACTTATTGAACAGCAAGAACAAAGCAGGAATGAAGTATGTCTGCTCCTGTTTTCACCTATCAAGGCAAGGGCCATAGCTCAGTGGCAGAGCACCTGCTTTGGATACAGAAGGCCCCCTGTTCAATCCCCAGCACCCCCATGTTGGCCTGGTAATGTCCCCCATCCAACATCCCTGGAGAGCTGCTGCCAGTCAGTGTTGACAAGACCGAGCTAGATGGACCAGTGGCCTGCCTTGGAATAAGGCAACCTCCTATCCTTGTAGCAGGGATGGGGAAGCTTTGGCCGGAAGTTGTTGGACTCAGACTCCCATCAGCCCCAGTCAGCATGGCCACTGGTCGGGGTGATGAGAATTTGTAGTCCAGCTACATCTGCAAGATTGTAGGTTCCCTGCTAGATAGTAGCAGCAGAGTGAGCCCTTTTTAAAGACTTAGAAAGGGAAGCAGGGCCAGTGCCTGATGTTAGCAGCAACAGGGCAAAACGTCCTCCGACTTAGAGAGTTCAGTAAATCTCATAAGATGATGTTGTTCATGGACATGGCTCCACTGCCTGTTACAGCTAGTAGCTACCAGTTGACTTATCCTCTTATGCAAAGGTTTAGGAGCAGAGGAAGCTTCCTTGTACGGAGCCAGGCCTTTGGCTCATCTCGTTCAGTATTCCCCGCACTGACTGGCAGACCCTCTCCAGGCTATCAGGCAGGAATTCTTTCCCAGCCTTAACCTGGAGATGCCATTGAGGATTGAACCCGGGACCTTTTGCATGCAAAGCAGATGCTCTACCACTGAGCCACGACCCTTTGTGTAGATAGCTACCATCACACCGGGTGGAAATGACTTGTGTAGGCTGCTGGTGCACCATGTGCAGCTGCTTCTTGTTTGCCGTAAGCCTACTGCCTATTTTAATTTCCATGGTCTGCAGGAATAAGGAATAAACCAACAGATACATGGTCTTAAGAGGTCTCTGCCTATGCTTCTCTTTTTCTAGGGCTGCCAGCGGATCGTTGAGGACTGGCAGAGGATACTTATGGTCCGGTCCCTTGTCGTTAACCCCCACGAGGACATGAGGACTTGGCTCAAGTACGCCAGTTTGTGCGGCAAGAGTGGGCGGCTGGTGAGTGTGTCTTGCAACTCCAGCAGGTATGAGAACAGGAAAAAGAGCTGGACGCAAAAATCCACAGTAACCTTCCCCCACCCCTCCTCTTTTCTGTTTATTCAAGGCTTTGGCTCATAAGACCCTCGTGTTGCTTCTTGGGGTTGACCCGTCCCGGCAGTTGGATCACCCGTTGCCAACTGTTCATCCTCAGGTGACCTACGCATACATGAAGCACATGTGGAAAAGTGCCCGCAAGGTAAAAATGTTGCAAAGAATTTCGAAAATGCTTTTCTCCCTCTTGCTGATAACTCCTGCTTCCTAGCACTGCTGCAGTGCAAGGAGCAAAATGCACAAGGTTCTTCTCCCTTCCTTGCTCACGAAACCTTTTTTGGTTTCGAAGTGGATGACTCTCCACCATGTCCCTGCATTTTCTATACCCTTGTGTGTGTTGTGTCAGTGGTCAGTAAAGAAACAAGCAAACACACCAGGCAAACCGGAAAAGGGTTTAGGGGTGGGGCTTTTTTGCACAGACAAAACATCTCTGCAGACTTAGATACCCAGCCAACAAACAGCTGGAGAATGCACAGGGCTATGTAAGGCCAAATCACTTGGCTTTGCAGGGGCACGGCCGAGTCTCTTTGGCACAGCCATGTGAGGGGAATTTACATAATCAAATCCAATAAACCTCAGTCTGGATCCCTTCTTATTCCTGTTTAATATATGGTAAAGTCTCTCTTTTAGTCCTGAATGTGCTGCCACGTCATTCCTTCTATTCAGTGCCCCCACCCCAAACCCATCTTGGTTTTTGCCGACTGTGGAGGCTAAAGCTCTTATAATTGTGTGGCTCAGCTGCACACCTTCTGAAATGCAGAAGGGGCCACCCCACCAACGGCTAATCTTTTGACTATTTTTGAATTGGACAGGTTTACACCCGTGCTTTTCTTGTAGCCAGCTCAACTCACAGTGGGGGGAGATTTAAGCAACCTTGCGTGTGTGTGTACCTCATCAAGTGTTAATGTAACACCTTAAGAAATAATAATAATCTAGGAATCCTGGAATTTTCAGAAGAAGTTGTAAATTTGTACAAGCTAAGCTCATTGAGAGGGAAGAGGGGGTAGGTGGCATTGCTGAAAGGGTCTTGTGCCTCACCTATGGTGTAGTTATGGAGGTGTGGGTGGGTGGGTGCCCTTTGCACTAGGGATGGGTGCTGAGAGCCAGAAGCCACTATATCCGGCATTAAGATTCTTCCCAGGGCACCCTTGTCACCAGTCCTGCTCAGAGCCCTCCTCAAGTGCCTTTGCCTGGCCTGTAATGTGTTTTTGTAATGCGATGATGATGCTTGCTTGCCTGGATGGAGGGTGTTTTGTGCGTGTGTGTGTGCGCGTGCGCGCAGATAGAGAAACTCCTGTCTTTTACATGACTGGAATGTAGCCGAATGCTGCTCCACCCATGTTTGCCTCTGGCCACACTTACCAATGGAATGTCACCCCCAGAGGGTTTGCCCATGAGGGAACACGGCAGCCCTCAGGCTGAGAATGATTCCTTTACACTTCCACAGAAGTGCAGGAGGAAATCCACGTTGGTTATGTGGCTTTAATGAATTGTTAGGGCATGTCCAAAGAATCTTTGCCTTCTCTTTCTGGCTTGGGTACAGAAGTGTTGCAACCCAAGAGAGGAGAGACGGGAAGAAAATGGTGATGTCCATCTTCCTCTTTAGTGCAATAGCTGCTCTGCACGGCACAGATGAATTACCAGCTTGGTGTGTGATTGCTAGCTCATTTTCCCCTATTGTTTCCAAGGCTTAAAAAAAAAAAATCCACTTTTTAAAAAAAGGAAAGGAAAGGGGAATAAATGTATTTTTAATTGAAGAGATATACACAGGGTACTCTAACATAACAAAAGCTGGCAGCCTGTATGAAAGAAGGTGAGACCTTGAATCACCTTATTATCATTTACTGGCTAGGACATCTGACAAATGGCTGGAAATCAGGCCTGAGATGGAAGAGGAGAGAGAGAAAACGCCTTGGGTTGTGTCAAACTATGACCTACTCAGAGGAAATCCACTGAAATCAATGGACCTAAGTTAGCCATGCCTATTAATTTATATGGGTCTGCTCTGAGTAGGGCCCACATTGGATACAACCCAATGATTCCTGGTTTGTATGTGTATGTGTATGTGTATTAGCTGCAAAGTCCCCCCTTTGTCAATGCTTGATAACAGCCTAGCAATGCACTTCAAAGCACACATGCATTCATTTTGCAGATCGACGCGTTCCAGCACATGCAACACTTTGTTCAGACCATGCAGCAGCAGGCGCAACATGCCATCGCGACTGAGGATCAGCAACACAGGCAGGAGCTCCACAAGCTCATGGCACGGTCAGTACCTTCCTTCCCCCGAGGCTCAGCAACCAGGCCAGAAGCAGCGACATGCCTTCCCAAAAACTGCAGATAACACAAAGTGTCGGCCGATGGCCTGACCAGCTGAAACCATGCACACTCTGGATGAAACGACTCTCTCGACATCAGTAACCTGTGCTAGTAGCTACAAGAAGCTTGCTGTTCCCAAAGCACTACCATTCCAGCACTGTTAGCACCATTTATTCTGCTTTCATTTGATAACATCATTGTGCCAGCTGCACAGCAGAGACCACTTTGCTGTGTGTTCCGCATTATGTAAGCTGGATTGACTCCTTAATGCAAGGATGGGGAAGCTGTGGTTCTTCAGCTTTTGTCGGACTCCCATCTAGCCATCCCACCAGCATGACCAATCTTCAAAGATGCTGGGAATTGTTGCCCAATAAATATCTGTAGGGTTCCCTCGCCTGAGTTACGTGCACCGACCTCCTGAAGCCACCGCTAATAAGATGAGGCATGATTTTCAGGGTGTTTAAAATGAAAAGAGATGGTAAAAGAGTTCTGAGAGGGTCCCCACAAACCAAATGAATGGCAGTAAAACATCAAATGCATTTCAGTGTAAACAAGTGTGAGGCTGAATGCTGGAAGATTCAGGGCAGACAGAAGAAAGCACTTCTTCACACAGCGCATAGTTAAACTGTGGAACAATGGCTCCCACAAGCAGCGATGGCCACCAACTTGGATTCTTTAATAGAGAATTAGTGGGGCAGGAGAGATGAAAAGAATGTCAATATATTTCACATCACATCTAGCAACCCATGTGTCCCTTTGGTTTCAGGTTAGTTAGTTAGTTAGTACAGGGGTTCAGTTCAGTTAGCACATGGGTAGACGGATCTGAAAAGCCTGGGACCCAAATTGTCATGGTCCTCTAGCAGCTATGGTGGCTCATTTACCAGAAGTAATGTATTTCGTGTTAACTCTGGAAGTGTATACTCGATTCTGACCAAACTACTCCTGGAATATGCTCTCAGGTGTTTCCTGAAACTGGGCGAGTGGCAGCTGAACCTGCAAGGTATCAATGAGAGCACTATCCCCAAGGTCCTGCAGTACTACAGTGCCTCCACAGAGCATGACCGCAATTGGTACAAGGTAAGCAAAAGGTTCCCATGTCACTCAGAGTAGCAGCAGCGCTTCTGGTGGCGCCTGTCAGTTCAGGATACAAAACACTTAAGCACCTCTGCCCGCCACCTTTTGCAGCAGAGTGTTGGCTTGGGGATCAGCAGGGGCGTTGTTTATTGGCTATTCTAATGCGCGCGCACCCACACCCGGCAGGCTTGGCACGCATGGGCAGTCATGAATTTTGAGGCCGTCCTCCACTACAAGCATCAGAACCAGGCCAGGGACGAGAAGAAGAAACTTCGCCATGCCAGCGGAGCCAGTGTCACCAGTGCCAACACGGAGGGCAGCAACAGCGAGAGCGAGACAGAGAGCACCGAAAACAGCCCCGTCCCATCTCCCGTGCAGAAGAAAGTCATGGAGGTACAATCCAATTGTCTCCCCTTTAGCTCTCCAGGCCCAGTGGGCTATGTGTCCAGCTGGTTCCCCCTTCTTTCACCCTTCCAATTGATATGCACCACGAGTGGGGAAGCTGTGGCACTCTAGATGTTGGCAAAACACCCGCCGGCCCAGGGTCGGGGATGGTG